GAGAGCTCCGACACCAGGGTACCTCTCAAAAGTTGGGGCTGCTCTTACACGCCAGTGGGAAGAAGAGGGTAGAGACATGAAGCAGGAAGGCGGATGAAGTACATCGGGCCCAAGCCCCCCCGAGGAAGCAGCAGCACGCAGCAAAGGCATACTCCTGAAGTAGGAAGGCGCTCGAAAATGAGTGGGATCTGGGCATCCAGAAATCGGGGATCTGCTGACACGGGTCAATCCAGGCCCGGGTGAGTCGGGTCTTGCAGGATCCTGCAAGATGCTGCACGATCCTGCACCCAAACCCGGGTCAACGCGAAAGATCCTGCAGGACCCTGCAGGATCCTGCACCCCAACCCGGGTCAGTGCGCCCCCGGCCCCGCAGGACCCTGCAGGATCGGGCGCTCTGGCTGACCCCCGTCTGCATGGACCCCCCGTCTCAAGGCTCCCGAAGAAATGATGCCCCCGTTGCTGGCGATCAGGGTTAAAGTAGGTTGGAACATCCAACGCCGCTGCAGCGCAGGGAGGAGGGAGGGAGGGAGGGAGGGAGGGAGGGAGGGAGGGAGGGAGGGAGGGAGGGAGGGAGGAGGAGGAGGAGGAGGAGGAGGAGGAGAAGGAGGAGGAGCAGGAGAAAGAGAAGAGGAAGGAGGAGGAGGAGGAGGAGGAGGAGAAAGAGGAGGAGGAGGAGGAGGAGGAGGAGAAAGAGGAGGAGGAGATTGGCAATCTGGGCATCCAGAAATACCTCCACTTCCAACGACCCGCGTCTAGCCCACGTTCCAGCTGCGCTCGGCGGCGCGCCCGGAGGTTTTCAGGCCGCGGGGGGGCGGGCCGCCTCCGAAGGCTCTCAGACGGCCTCCGGCCGCCGGGGCGCTGCGTAGGCCTCCTCCGGGGCCTCGGGGGGGGGGGGCCTTCTGCGGAGGCCAACGGGGGGGGGGGCTTCTGAGAGGCCCTGCCGCCTCTCACTTCCTCCTCCTCCTCCCCTCCTCCTCCTCCTCCTCCTCCTCCCTTTTCCTCCTCCTCCTGCTCCTCCTGCTCCTGCTCCTACCTGCTCCTCTGCTCCTGCTGCTCCTCTCCTGCTCCTCCTGCTCCTCCTGCTCCTGCCCTCCTGCTCCTGCTCCTCTTACCTCCCTCCTCCTCCTCTCTCCTCTCTCCTCCCTCCTCCCTCCTCCTCCCCTCCCTCCCTCCTCCTCCTCCTCCTCCTCCTCCTCCTCCTCCTCCTCCTCCTCTCCTCCTTCCTCCTCCTCCTCCTCCCCTCCTCCTCCTCGTGCTCCTGCTCCTGCTCCTGCAAACTCTCTCCTCCTCCCTTCTCCTCTGCTCCTCTCTCCTCCTCCTCCTCCTCTCTGCTCTCTCCCCTCTCCTCTCCCCTCTCCTCCTTCTCCTCTCTCCTCCTCCCCACCTCCCTCCTCCCCCTCCTCCCTCCTCCCTTCCTCCTTCCCTCCCTCCTCCTCCTCCTCCTCTCCCTCCTCCTCCTCCTCCTCCTCCTCCTCCTCCTCCTCCTCCTTCCCTCCTCCTCCGCCTCCACTGAGCGGCCCCGCCCATCGGCGTGCCGCCGACACTCGGCAAGCTCGTGTCGTGATATCTTTTGTACGTTAAGAAATTATGACTCCGAGTGGATCGTACGGCCTCGGGCGATCGCGGCTTGCCGACTGCGCGGATCGCTCGACGCTGGCCGATGCTGGGCCGCCGGCGGCCATCAGCCTGGAACGCCCGCACTGGGATCACCGCCGCGTCGAGACGGCATGGACCTGCCGTATCCATCCAACGCTCAGGGAACCGATCTCCCGGGAAGGACCCCGGGGGGGCGTGGGACATGGATATACTTGGGCCCATGGGTTATGTTGCTCCCATCCTACTTCAGGACCACATCCCATAAATAATTTCGAGCACCCCTAAAAGTGTCAAAAGAGTGTCGAAACAGTGTCGGGCGAGTGTCTCCCAGGCCCGACACGTGAAAACCCTTGAATTTCGGTACTCTTTTGGGCGCTCGAAATTCTTCGTGGTGATCAAGGCTAAAGTAGGTTGGAGCATCATAACCCACGGGACCAGAATAAATCCATATCCCCTCCTCCCCTGGTCCTGAAAAGATCCTCGAGCACAAGGCCCAGCCCAATCCTGGACTTGGACGAAGCATTCATGACAGCGGGTTCCACGCCGTGCACGGCCCGCCTCTGTAGAAACAAGGAAAGGCGATACCAGCATCACAAGGGTGAGGAGATGCAAGGAGGCAAGAGGGGTCTCCCTGGTGGTGTGGTCCCCCCTCTCGCTCGAGACATCCCCGGCCTCCAGCTTGGGGAGGCATCGTGGACCCCTCGCTGGAGGCGGGCCCTCTGGTGGTGCTGGTATCGCTTCTCCTCCCTCCGACTTCTGGAACGCTTTGGCTTTGCAGGCCGCTTCTAGAGGCCTCCTAGATGGGGATCCGAGCAAATGGGGTCGGAGGATTTCGCCGCATCGCCGATACGTCGACGATGCATCGTTGATGCACCGGCGATGCACTGGCGACGTCGGCGATGCATCCGCGACGTCGGCGCGGAGGACATCGGGCCCCGCCTCGAGCCGCACTACCGACGCATCGCAGATGCGTCGGCGATGCGGCGCGATCCTCCGAACCCGTCTGCTCCGACCCCACCTGGGAGGCCTGGAGCCTCCCCCCCTTGTTCTGGAGATCGACGCCCCCATGGGTGCATGTGCCCCAGTCTTCGAGGGAGGAGGAGGAGGAGGAGGAGGAGGAGGAGGAGGAGGAGGAGGAGGAGGAGGAGGAGGAGGAGGAGGAGTGGGAGGGGGAGGAGGAGGGAGGAACAGGAGGAGGGAGGAAGAGGGAGGAACAGGAGGAGGAGGGAGGAGGAAGAGGAGGAGGAGGAGGAGGAGGCCCAGAACCTCGCACCAACGACGCCGGCGGGGCTCCCTGCCTGCATCCGGGGCGCCGCCCTCGTCGGGCTCCCGGGCGCGACGCGCGCCTCGCCGCCCTCGGGCGCTCCCCCAGGCGCCCGCGGGTCGCCCCGGGCCCCAGGAGAGAGAGCCGACCCGCGGGGAGAGCGAGGCCCCGCAAGGGGGCCCCGCTTGTGCTCTGCGAGGGGTGCAGCTGATCTCGCGACGTCGGATCGACAGGCAACCCCCCTCACGCTTCCCCAGGCCTCTGGCGTCGCAAGCTCGACTATCCTCTCTCTCTCCCTGCACCTCCACCATCCCCTCCCCGAGCATCAGAAGCCTCCGAACTCCCCCTCCTGCCCTTCATTTTCCCCCCCCCACTCTCCTCCTTCCCTCCTCCCTTTTCCCGGCTCCACTTTCCTCTATCCTCCCTCCGTGCCCATCCCCCATCACTCCCCAGTCCACTGTTCTCCCTCCCTCCTCCCGCTCGCTCCCTTCATCCTCCATCCTCATCTTCCTCCTCCATCTCCTCACCATCCTCCTCTTCCATCCTCCTCCTCCACGTTATCATCCCTCCTGTGCCTCCTCCTCCTGCCTCCGCCTCCACCTCCTACATATTCCTCCCTCATTTCGCTTCGCCTCACGATAGCGGGTAAATCGTCGAAAAATGCGGAGAAGCCCAAGCATATCAGCTGAATATCTGAACGGGATACTCAGCGGCAGCCTTGAGGCGCTCTACACTGGTCGCTCTTCTTCCTCCTCCTCCTCCTCTTCCTCCTCCTCCTCCTCCTCCTCCTCCACCGCCATCTACTCCTCCTCATTCCGGTCCTTCAGCTCCTCAACTGACTCCCTATACCTCCTTCTTCTCCTCCTCCTCCTCCTCCTCCTCCTCCTCCTCATCATCCTCATCATCCTCATCATCATCATCATCATCATCATCATCATCAGCATCATCATCATCATCATCATCATCGTCATCGTCATCATCATCATCATCATCATCATCATCATCATCATCAATATCGTCATCATCACCACCAGCATCATCGTCACCATCAGCATCATCAGCATCATCAGCAGCATCAGCAACATCATACCATGCAGCAGCATCATCATCATCATCATCAGCATCAACAACAGCAGCACCAACAACATCACCATCATCACCATGATCCGTATCATCACCACCATCATCACCATTTTCATCCTCAACACCACCATGATCAGCATCAACATCATCAACATCATCATCATGAACATCATCACCATCATCGCCATCATCATCAACATCATCAACATCATCCTCATCCTCACCTCCATCATCATAACCGTCATCAGCATCAGCATCATCAGCATCAGCATCGTCGTCATCGCCATCGTCATCGTAATCGTCATCGTCATCATCAGCAACCGCATCGTTATAAGTCCTATCATCCTCATCATCATCCTCATCATATGCATCAGCATCATCATCATCATCATCATCATCCTCATCATCATCATCATCAGCAGCAGCAGCATCACCATCATCGTAATAGTTTTCTCAGACCTCCTCCTGCTCCTCCTCCTCCATCCTCTTCCTCTGAATCCTCCTTTCCATCCTCCTCTTCCCTTTTTCTCCTCCCTTCCTTTCCTCACCCCTGCTCCCATCCGCTTCTCCCCGGACTGGCCGCGGCCACCGCGCGCTTCGCGTCGTCCAACAGCGCGCTGACCTCGCTCAGCGTCTCGCGCTGCCTCTTCAGCAGCTCCTGGCGCATGGCCTCCAGCTGGGACGTGGCCGCCGCGGCCTCCCTGAACCGCCGGCCCCCCCGCGGCCTGCCCGGGAGGGCCTCTGCAGCGCGCGGCGGATCTTGCCCGAGGCCCCTCTTCGGCGGGCCAACGATGCGGCGCTGGCGAAACGGGGTTTTCCGTGTTCGTGCTGTCCTCGTGTTCCGTCGTGCCGTCTTCGTTCCGCCCTTGCCGCCGTCTAGGACGAGGTCCGAACGGGAACGGCCCACGGGATCGCCCTGGAAACACACCGTCGAGTCCGCGCACCGGTGCAGAGGGGCCCCCGAACGACGGGGCCCCGAGGCGTCGCCGCCGCGAAGCCGAGCATCTGGAGAGACGTGCATGCAGACGGGTGCACGCTTGGGGGTTCCTTCGGGGGAGTATCTGCGCTCGGGCTGGCGCAGCAGCACTGCGACCTGCGCATACGAGGGAGGAAGCAGGGAGGAGGACCAACAGGGATACCTTATGTCGTTTCAAGACCTACGCCGTTAGGATCGCCCAGACGCCACCCCTTGTACTCCCCCCTTCTGTACTCCTGTATGCACCCCCGTTATATGGCCCTTTATGGTTATCCTTTTCGCACACCCTTATGCACCCCTTGTTGTATGCGCGCTGGTAACGACCCCCCTTCCTTTTTTATACCCCGAAGGACACTGTTACATACCCCGAAAGACACAATGGAGGATATTGAAAACTGATACACGGGAAAACGAGGAGGAGGAGGATAAGGAGGATGAGGAGGGGGATGAGAAGGAGCGGGAGCCCCAAGACGGCCCAAGAAGGCTACAAGACGGCCTAAGGAGGCCCCAGCACGGCCCAATAGCACCCCCCCAAGAGAGCCGAAGGGGGTCCCAAGAGGGCCCCCCACAAGGGCTCAGACGATCCAGGACGGCCTAAAGGCTTCCCAAATCGTGCCCAGACGGCCCAAGAGGCCCCCCAGATCGCCCCAAGACGGCCCAAGAGGGTCCCAAGACGGCCCAAGAAGGCCCGCAGGCGACCCAGTGTGACCCCAAGACGGCCTAAGAGGCCCTCCAAGAGGGCCCAAGAGAGCCCCAAAAGGGACCCCACGAGGGCTCGCGAGCGTCGTCTTCGTCGTCGGTCGATCGGTCGGTCGGTCGGTCGTCGTCGTCGTCGTCGACGACGTTAAGGGTCGGCGGCACCGGCCGTAAGGCCTCTCCAATGGCAGTCAGAGCAGATTTGGAATTTTTTTCATGCATTGCCAGGCTGGCTGTCGACGATCTGTGCTGCTCGCGAGCCTGCGTCCTCGTCGTAGTTGTCCTCCTAGGCACACGAGGACAAGTCCAGCAAACGCTGCACATCCTCGAGACTCGCACTGGCCGAGCTTGAAGAGGCTCCGCCAGAATTCACCTGGCCCTTGGAACCCTCAGAGATGCCCTCAGAGTTGGACTTCGTCTTGCCAGGCCAGTTCTTGATGACCGACATCAGTGCCGCCATGTAGCAGAAACCGACGAATGAATTGCCTCCCAGCTTCAAGAGACAACAGTATGTGAAGGCGTCCTTTTGAATCAAATTGTCGACCGGCTTGAAATCGAAGCCATGTAGCATCAAATATTCTAGTCCTGTCAGCAGCCTCATCCTATCTGGATCGTCCGTGTGCAGCGCGATTTTCGATTTGGGGCATATGGTTGGCACTGTGTTATTGTAGCCGTAGCGCAAGCGGTACACTGATTGGCCAACGTCCAAGCACCAAGCATCTTCCTTGACGTACGTGCCGTATGCCAGGATATGTCTCTCCTCAAGAATCCACAGCACCCTCCAGACCCATCTCTCAATCTCTCTCTCTCTCTCTCTCTCTCACTCTCTCTCTCCCTCTCTCTCCCACTCCATCGCACTTAATCGTGCCCTTGATTTGGAGGGGAGAGGGGAGGGAGAGGTGAGAGTAGAGAGTGAGATATGGGACTTGAGGCGCTTTGGATGTCTCGCTTCCCTGTTGGTGAGAGTGGAAGCCCAGTCGGACTTGAAATGCTGGGTGGCTTTGGCCATGACGGCTCGGTAGTTGAGGTGATCCTTCGCCAGCTGATCCTGGAACTTGTCGGTCCCTTCGGAGTCATCAACGCCGCAGGTGCCCTTCTTCATGTTCAGATGCTTTGCCAGGTAGTCGCTCTCACCGTGGAGTAAGAAATTCTCGAGGTCGAGCTGCGGGATCTTCATGTTTTCGATGTCCGTCCAGATCTGCGCGATTATTTTCGACGCTTCACTGGCGTCAATACCAAACCGCTCAAAGCGAAGAGCAATGATCCATGTCCGTGGCCGGGCAGCCCGCGATCCATAGTCCGACGCTTGAAGGCCGCGCGTCTCCGCAACGAAGCCGATGGCCTTGAATGCGCTGATCATCAGCGTCCGATTCTCGTTTGAAATCTTAGCGAATTCATCTGAGTTCTCCCCGATGCAACACGCAATGTGGCTCTGCTTTTCAAATAGCGGTGAAGGCCCCAAAACGCTTCATTTGTTGACCCACTCCCTGATTCAAGTAGCGTTGCTCGCTCCTCCGGGGGCATCTTCTTCATCTTCGATAACTCCTTGCAGCTCCAGCCCGCGACGGCGATGGAGACACCTTGGGAGGCATCGGACACGCTGCACTCTTTGTTGTGGACAGCGCACTTCAAGCAGTCGTCATTCAGTTTGGTGATGCCCTCGAACAGGCAGAAGCCGCAGCCATGGCAATTGCCATTGCCACTGTCGTCAGACCCACTTGGCGATCCTGCCAAATCATCTCCCAATGCTTTGATCCACTTCTGGTTGACTGGGAGGATCTCGCAGGCCATGTTCGTGCGGATGCTGTTGGGCAAGCCCACTTCATCAGCGATAGCATTGGCGACGATGGTCTGAACCTCGCTTCCGCAGCAGAGGGAAGCCGCGCCGATCTTGCCACCAAATACCTCCTGGATGTTGTGTTTCCGTTGGCCCTTCCACTTGTTGCCCATCTCTTTGAACATGTCCCATGCTGCGGCATGCAGGTTGGATTACCGCCTGGGTGATTTCTCGGGGCCTGGTGGCGGATTAGAGGCGGGCCTCTTCGAGGCCCCCATTCCTACCAGAGCAATCCGTATATCAAAACACAATGCTCTGAGAATAATGGCTGTAGACAGTGGGAGGTCGAAAGAGGCGGAGGGGCGGCCCGGGGCCGACCGACGACGACGACGACGACGCACGACGATGACTGACGACGACGACGACGACGACGACGACGGCGACGACGACGACGACGCCACTTCTGGGTCCGACCTTTACTTTCAGCTTTGTTCGGGGCTTAGGGCCAACGTGGATGAGGGGCTCCATAAATGGACTTGCTCTTAGGACAGGGCTGCGACTAGAAGAGGATTGAGTCGGGGTCGGCGGAGGAGGGGGAAGAGGTGGCGAAGCAATTGGAGCAGTGAGTGCAAGGATTAGGGGCAGAAGGAGCAGGGAGAGGAGTGGGAGGAAAGACTGGCTGGATTTGATTTGGACAGGTCGCTCTCGGGTGAATCTATTCGCTTTTGGGTAACGTAATGGCCCCACCACTGCCGATGAGGCGTGCACCAAACATCAGATCGATTTATGCTGCGCGCTGGGACCATGCCACCATGCCAACGCGTTAGACGACAACTGCGGTTGCAGAGCGAGAGCGGAGGACACACCAGGCAGGACCGCGGCTTGCACCATGGCCCAAGAGATTGCTCAACCATTGTGTAGAAAACAAGCACGAAACATGGGCACAGAACTATCGCTCAAAGCAGCTGTCAGGACCCGTCTAAAACTGCATCAATGACACTAGGATGGCGCGTCCCCCGAAGTTGAAAAGGGCAACATGCAGCAGGTCGTTTCCAGAAGAACCAGACTCTCTTAACACTCGTTCCCCTTTTACCGCCCCTGCCCAACCCAAAACCCTACCTGCTGATGCCCTTGCTGGGTAAAACAACCCACTGAAAAGTTCAGGGCAGTTGACTCGGCTCACGTCTCCTTGCCGGCTACGCCCTCCTCGATGCGACTTTGCAACGTCCTATCATGATTTCTTATGTTTTTTCTTGGTGCCTGCAGCCTTGCCACCTTCATCGTTTCCAGGGCGCTTACATTTAGACTCCTCCGGGCGAGAGTCAGTGGTCTTCACCGCGAGGATCCCCTTCATCTTGTCAAGCATGTCCTTCGTGACCCACGGGGTCTTGTAAGTGCCATCCTTATTCATCTGCGGCTTGGTTTGCGTGTTATTGATGATTGAAAGCGTGGTCCTGGCCTTTACCCCTTTGTTCGGGTCCATGATGTTCTCCACCTTGAGCAGCTGGTTGACGCCCCGAGCCACCGACATCTGCTGGGCGTTGGTCTTGAGGTCCATGCAACGATCGATGCTGGGGCAATCGGCGCGACAGGGCCCTGCGCCCTCCAATCGCTGATCGCACAGATTGTTCTCAACCATTCCTGATTCCACTGCCTTCTTCACTTCCTCAGCCAAAGGGGCCTTCGCATCGAGGGTGAATGTATCGACGATATTCTCCATGTTGTTCTCGGCGCGACTCACCCTCGCCGCGGCATCTCTGATGACATCCTGGACCACCTTGAGGACGGTATGAGCTCAAGCAGCGTAGGCCTCCATGAGCTCTGGACCACGGCATTCCCCCAGAGTGGTAAGTGCGAACTCTTCCCAGCTGGTCTCGGCGTTGATCCGTTTCACCGCAGCGTGCAGCACCTTCAGACTCTGGGGCAAAGTGGTTGCGCTGATCGAGTCTGGATTTCCCACGGCGCAGAAAGGTTTCCAGCTCTGAAGAATAATCGCAAAGCCCCCCATTGTGTTCACAAGCCTGGTCAGCTTGTCCGGGCGTTCACCCCGCATGATAAGCCTGCTGCATTCGAAAACGTGTTCAGTCCAATGCGCGAAGACCTCCTGGCCGATTGATTCGCGACACTCATATCCGAGCTTGACGGTGTCCTCATGGGGAAATGGAGAAACATCAAAGCGTTAAGCTACATCGGGGTTCCGAGCCCCCCTGAGGGGGGCTCGTTCTGGATGTAGTCGTAGGGGGCTGGGGGCGGGGCTGAGGACCCTAGCGCGTCAGATATCGAGTGTTTCCACACACACACACACTCACTCACACACTCACACACTCACACACTCACACACTCACACACTCACACACTCACACACTCACACACACACACACACACACACACACACACACACACACACACACGCACACACACACACACACACACACACACACGCGCACACACACACACGCAAACACACACACACACCGATCGGTAAATTTGAAACCCAAAGCGTCCTTCAAGGTGCCCAAGGACTTCTGAAGCATCGGCTCCACCTGATCCTTGATGGAGAATGCGACCTCGAATGCGTTGATGCGATTCCTCAGGTTCTGACCCTCGAACTTGCCCTTCAGGTGGTTGAGGGCCGAGAATTTCTCGACGATCTTTGCGATCTCGGGTGCGTTGTTGTAGATGGCCTTGCAAACGTCTCTCACGCCGCTGGCTGCTGCCAGCGCTGCCTTCGCTTGCGTCAAAGCCGCCTGCCACCTGTTGATGAACTCCTCCACGTTCTTCATATCGGCCTGCAGCGGGCTTAATGGGACAACGCGTGCCAGGGTGATCTTCAGATTGGGCGCTCCAATGCGCGATGCAAGGTTCGTCACCATAGCGGTGTCGATGATCTTCGTCGGGGTCTCCTCACTGCGACTACTAACTTCGACTTCGAGTACCCTGTCCATTATATCCACCATTGCGGTTGTTACCTCCTCGGATTTCTGGACGCTCATCGCGCAAATCTTGCCGACCACCTTGAAGAATAGCTTCGCGTTCCCATCCTTGGCGCCCTCGACGTTCACGAGATCCATGATCGACATGATCGACTGCTCCAGCTGGGCTGCGTAGCACTCGTGCCCGCCCCGGTCCGCGAACATGGCGTCGAGGGCTTGGGCAGCGCTTTCAAAGGGGGCGGTCTGCGTTCGCTCCTCCGTCAGCTTGTTGATCTCATCTTCGATCTCAGTCTTCACCCATTTGAACTGGCGCTGGATGAGGCTGGACTTGAGAATGCCTGCACTCGTCGCTCGCCCTCTGATTGTCCAATTCGATGATCACCGCGGCTGCCCTGTCAGCATCGTTCACAGAAACGTCGAGTTCGGATGAGATCACCGACGTGGAAGCCTCCAAGGAGTTCAGGTCAGTAATCGATTCGCTGTCGAGCAGGTCGGGGTGCTTCAAGGCGATCGCTGCGACCTGATGGAGCTCGCCAATGCCGTTCCTGATGCTCTTGTGATCGGCGTCGCCGGCCTTCGGACTCAGGCTCAAACCAGACATCGTCTTGAGCGCGCTCGCCTCGATGACACCAACGAAGAAGAGCTTCCAGTCATCGTCCGAGATGCGCACGCCGAACATATCCTCGCTCTTAAACTCCGCAAGTAGGCTGGTCACCATGTCGAACCTGGCAAAGCGAACAGATTCTGCGACATTGTCCATGTAGACGATGCTCTTTATCCCAGCGCCAAAGGACACCTTGCCTTCCGCGAAGGCGATGGCGGCCGACATTCGGTCCACATCTCTGTCACGCTTGGCCATCTCAAACAGTACGGTGCGGGCTTTGCGGGGCAAGTTCCGCATGGCCCGGACCTCCTCCAAGACTTGTCTGGGCGTGTGGGAACGCTTCCCCTGCTTCGAGTCCAGCGCGTTGCAGTCCTCAAGGCGTTCAGGAATCAAAAAAACACAACACCTCCACGGACGCCCAGGCCCAGAGACAACAAGCATCAACGCAAACCAGAGCCGTTGAAATTCAGACGAATCCATATTTCTGACGCCGAAAAGCCAACAATCGGCGGTGGACAAACCTCCCTTTAGTAGACCTCCCCTCAGTGAAAACGGCCTAGGACCGAAACCGACGGATCTGGACCCGCAGAAATGACGGCCGCGACGCCCCCTCGCGCACCGAAAACGGCCAATTCTTTAATCGACGTGTCAGGGTAGGAGGTCTGTCCACCCCCGAAACAAACACTTAACAACACACCGATTGGAACAGCCTTGCGGCCTGTTCCGCCGAGCCTGAACGACTACGACTACGACTACGACTACGACTACGACGACGACTACGACGACGACGACGAAGACGACGACGACGACGACGGGCAGAAAGATTGCGGTCCTTCGCCAACTCAAGCAAAGCCTTGCAAAGCGAAGGTGCTTTGCCAACCATGCCCTTCAGGACCTCTTGAAGTAAGAAGGTTGTCGATATCTGGGACATGGGTGTGCCTGCCACTGCCCTTGATGACCTGAGCCTCGCCATCTTGTTCGCCCTTTGCCTTGAGCGACAGTGCTGGCCCAGGAGCAGAGTCAAGACGCCCGTCTGCGGAATCAGGCGTTGCGGCCTCTCGTGCCTTCTGGACCTTGGCCGGCGTGCTCCGGATCGAGCGAGGCTTATTCGATGTTGCTTTCGCCTTAGCGGCAGCCTTCTCCGTCGCCCTCGGCTTTCTCGGCGTAGCCTCGGCATCGATCATGCCGCTGAGCAGTGACGCCGAAAGGAAGTCGATGCCAGCATCGTCGCCATCGTCATTGTCCTCGGAATCCTCGTCGTCGTCAGACATCACGGTTTCTGCCCGCTGCTCGCTGCCTTCAGTCATTTGATAATCAGGGCTGGGACATAGGCCTGCAGTGATCTTGCACATCTTCGCCTTCTGGTGGCCCTCGGCTGCGCTTCCTGAGGGCTTTCTGCAGCGAGCTGTACTTCGCCATCTCCTGGCCCTGCCTCAGACGATTCTCGCCAGAGTCGGTCTCCTCCCTCGCCTCGGCCATCATGGACGCCTCGATCTCCGCATCTGCATAGTTATCCCCCCCCTTCAGGAACAGCACGCACCAGCGCAGGCCTTTTCCTGGATAAGGGATTTTCTTCACCAAGCGGCCTTCCTCTTCAGGGTCCCGACCTTCGTTGGCAGCCATCCACTCGTCCTTGGGGATACCTTTGAACTCAAGCTTGGCCCTGATGCCGTCGGACTGGATGAGGGGAATCACCTTCTTCCGGGCCTCTTGCAGAGCACGCGCGACGTCAATCTTTTTTTTGCCCCTGAGTTTCAAAGTGATGTTTCCTTTGTTCACTTGGACGATGAACTCCTCGGTGGCCCCGGTGAACTCATCCATCAGGTTCGGGTGTTCCGCAGTATCTTTCATGGCCAGCACAAACTTCGGCATTGTCTCGAACTCCACCGTGAAACCGCCGAGCTCAAACGTGAACACACACACACGCGACACTGATAGCCCCGTGGGCACAGGGGGGCGCCGCTTGCCCATGGCCAAGTTGGGAACTTTGTTGACCTACGATAGGGCCCTGCCGTCAAAGGGTTCAGCTCGGTCGACTGGCGGCGGCGCGCCCTGCAACTGCGGACCTGAACGAACGTAATCTTAGACAAGTAAGCTTCGTTGATCACAACGGACAGTGACGTATATGCCCCGGCCGCTGTTGAAAAAAGCTCTGAGATGGCATCGCCAGCATCGGACAACTCAAGCTCATGCCTCGACTGGGAATCGTCAATAATATGGACCGGGCCGCCCTCCATGTCAACGGCCTGCAAAAGTCTGTCCAACTCCATCGCCGCCAACAAAATTGATATGAAGTCGCATCGAGGATAGCTTATCAGAGACCTGAGCTGGGCCAAGATGCCTGCGGCGATATAGCAAGCAACACGCCCAATAAGCCAATAATGCTAACTCGGGCGATGTCGAGGCTCTTCAATTTCTAACTCCTCGCGCCCGGCTCCTCGGGGGGGATCTTTGGGGAGACCTGGGGCAACGCTCAGGTTCAACGGGGGGGGGCGGGGGGGGCGCTGGGGGAACCTGGGGGGACCTGGGGGGGGCCTGGGGGAATGTCTCGGGGGCGTATCGGGCTGTTCTCGGGGTGAGGCCTCGGGGGGCAGAGAGCGGGGCGGGGGCGCTGAGCGCGGGGCGGGGGGGCCTGAGCGCGGGGCGCAGACGCTGAGAGCGGGACGGGGGCGCCTGGGGAACCCCGGATGCGCCTCCCCAGGACCCCCCCCCAGGCCCCCCCGGCAAACCCCCGCCCTCCCCCAGACCCCCTCCGAACACCCCATGCCCCCCTCCAAGTTCCCCCCCCCCCCCCCTTGACACCGCCCCTGGGGCTCGAGGCCCCTCCCAGGCCCCCCCCTAGACCCCCTTCGGACCTCTGGGATCTCAACCAGCCTGCCGCATGCCCCCAAACCCAAACCCTCTCCACTAGACGGTAGCCCAAGATCAAAACATCCCAGTGTAGCATAGCTAAAGGTGTTCAGCGATGGGCGACTGGTCAGCGTCCATTGTAAGGTGTTGCGTCGAGGGCATCACATTGGTTTTACTCCTCCTCTTCCCCCTCGCCTCCATCCGACCCTCCTCTTCCATCTCGAATCCGCCCCCTCGCCCCCTCTCCCTGTCTCACCCTCCTCTCTCCAATTTCGCACACCCCTTGAGCGGAGGAGACGAGGGCGTTTTCCCAAGTCGGCGCGAACAACGCCAGGAGGATGAGTGAGAGAAGGAGAAGGAGGAGGAGCAGGAGGAGGATGACGACGACGACGAGAAGGGGCCCGAACGACTCACCCCTCAGGAGCGAGTCGTCATGCCCCCTCCTTGTCCTCTTCTCCTCATCCTACTCCTTCTCATGTTGTTTCACCGTCTTGAGAAAAAACTCCTCCTCCTCGCGGGCCCCGGCGCCGTCGCTGACTGAGGCTGATGAGCTCCCAACCCTCTCGCGGCCCCCAGAGGGGTGGCTTGAAGGCCCCGCGAACTCGAGCCAGCCATCTCGGGCCCCCAAGAAGGCGACGTACACGTCCGCCCTCATTGCTGGGATTCCGAGATGGCTGAATCGAAGTCGCAGGGCGTTCCAGACCGCCTTCTGCGACCGTCGAGGCGCGCGCGCGCGGCGCGCGCAGTTTGGGCGCACCTCCGGCGAAGTCGATATCCAGGCGCAGCGAGTGCGCGGGCGGGGCGGGAGCGGCAAGACCCCATCCCTCCCCCTTCAGCGATGGGGGGTGGCGCAGGAGGAGCGAGACGAAGGGGATGAGGAAGTGGGGGATCTGAGAGAGGCGAGTGGACAGGACAATGAAAAACAACTTGGTGCGTCTTTGGGAGTGCTCGTCACCAAGTTCTCTCTCCCAGACCATATATTGTGTGTACACATATGCCAGTATACACGTATACATACATATATATGTATATAGACACAGATGGTGGTCAACACTTTCCGTCATAACCAACGTCATCAGCATCGGAGTTAATTCATAATTGCCAAAATCATCATCATCATCATCATCACCATCAGCATCATCATCAGCATCAGCACCAGCATCATCACCATCATCATCTTCAGCACCATCGGCATCATCATCGGAATCGTCGTTGTTATCTCTATCACACATCACCATCATCATCACGGGCGATGATTGCGACGACGAGGACGAGAAACATGACGATGACAATGGCGATGGTAATTGACGGCTGCAATGATGATTGTGTTGGTAATGGTGATCAGACAACGAGACTGCGATGCTGACAGCGGTGACGGTGATTAGAGTGAGGATGATGCCTCAACGACGACGACGACGATGATGCTGATTACGATGGCGATGATGATGCTGGTGCTGATGGTGATGGTGATCATGGTGATGATGAAGATGATGACGACGATGATGGTTGCGCTGAGTGCGATAATGAATATTGTAGTGCTGCCTACGATGATGATAGCTTGCGCTGTAGCCCATCCAACAGATACCAAACAACAATGCATTGCCTGAGGCTCCCTGCCCATTTCGACCCTGAAGCCAATCCAGCAGAGACCGACACAAACAAGTGCTATGCTTACGATTAGTGACGATCGATGGTGATCATGATCATGATCGTGCGTGCGATTGTGACGACGTGTCGCCATCATTTCTGCGTCTGTAACCAACCGAAGCGAGGAGGAGAGGGCCAATCAAGCGATGACACGGCAAGTGAGCGCGGCACATCAGGGGCGACCCCTCCTGGCGTGGAAGAGGGGGCAGGAGGTGAAAGTTGAAAGGGGGGGATGAACAATGACAATGATTCGAGGTCCTCCGACGGGGAAATGTCGACCAGGCCGCTGAATCGGCACCGGGCCCCTCCCCTTGCCCCCCTTCCCCCCTTGCTGGTGCTTGGACTTTCATCTGGTCCTCGGGGCTTTCTCGTGGACCCCTCGAGTTACTGCTGGAGCCCTCTCTTCTAGCCTTCTTGGGGCGACGCCTCCAGTGCTGACTCAAACTGGCCACCCTTCGCACTTGCATCAACTGCTGAACTCGATATCCGAATGCGTAACACGTCGCCCGACGCAATACTGCACAATACTTCACACTCGAACAGCGCGTCTGTAAAACTCCTGAAGGTGTCGGGGCGCTGGAATCACAAGCGCAATGACGTTTCAAACATGTTTGGGGGAAGGGGGATGGAGGAATGGATGAGGAGAGAAATTGCTGCTGACAAAATCAGTGCGCAACGAATGCTTCATGATACAGCGTGCTGCGGCTATGCTGGGGGCCCTGTACACGGAGCGCTGGCGCTCGCAGCCGACGCAAGTCCTTTGGCGCCGGCCTTTCTCTTCCGAACAAGGGCCCTGTAATTATCTAGGTGCTCTGTCTTGCCGTCTCTGCCGAACGGCAGGTCCATGCCGTCGGCGCACCAATCCAAAATCTCCCTTAGAGACGGCGCAGTATTGGCGTTGGTGAGTGG